AAAATAATGTTTAAATTTGAGCTTTTTTTATTTTAAATGAAGTTTATAGAATATATACATATATATATATATATATATATATATATATATATATATATATATATATATATAATTAAAAAATTCAAAATCAATCATGCAACTTCAATTTTCATCTGAACTTTTAACAACTCATTGGCAAAAAAATGATTTGCAAATTTTAGCATTTTAATTCTATATTTTAATATTGTTTCATCATCACTGACTAAACCTGGAATTTTCTCCAGTAAACCATGAATGGCTACACTATCTATAAGGCCTTTCGCTTTATACATCTATCATATCTCAGTCAGAACTCATCTATACGATAAAATATTGCTAAAGATGTTGGAAAAAAAAAAAAAAATATAAAAAAAGTACCCAACTTCTTCTAGCATGCTTTATATTTATATTAGGAATCAATCAGATGAAACCAAAAATGGATTGCTGTTGCCATAGCTGTCCTGGAGCTGCCCAAACTTTATAGATACCAAAGTCGTTTAATCGGAAAAATGTATATATGATATAGACATGGACATTTCATTTCCCCATAGACGAAACGCTTTTACAAAATCTCAGGATTTTTTCATTATTTCCATAGCAAATATTCAGGCTAACTCCAATCTTCAATCAATCCATCCATCAATTCAGGCATTTGCAGCTAAGACTCACCATATTCGGTCCACGTAATCGAATCACTATCCCACCTTCCGTATTCTAATTGTGAAGAGGAAGTTCCAAACATTTTTTTAAGAATTTTTGCTCTTAGAACATTCAAACAATTTGCCGATAGCTTCCTATTTTTACAATCTTAATCTCTTCTGAGAAAAAAGGTTTAAAAATTTAAACCTAGAATATAGGTTTATATATTTCCCCTTATCGTTATATATTCTCTATTGAAGAATTTTTTCCTACTTTTTTTTTTGACTTTTTGATTATCATACATAAATTCAATAACACTCTGTTGCGTCCTGGGAATAATAGTTTACATCCGCGATTAATTAAGACGATAAAATACGTCCAGCAAAATCATTGAAGGTTTTTTGGAACGTGAAACCACCTCTTAATTACTGGTGTTCCCATTTAAAGATATGACCCAGGGTGGTGGTACCTGTTAGGGTCCCAGCTATGGGCAAATAGTTAACCCTTGAAACAAAAAAAAAAAAATATGAAATACAATAAAAATAGCAATTTTAATACCAGAAATACTTTGTAAAAAAATTACCAATTATATAATAAATTTTGAAGAAAAAAACTATTACCAGCAATACATTTTTGAAAAAAAATACCAACAATATATTTCAAAAAAAAAATTATTACCAACAATATTTTGAAAAAATTCATAACCAACAATACAGTTTTGAAGGAAAAGATTATTACCAGAAAGAGATTTTTTGAAAAACAAAAATATTACCAGCAATATCGGCATTAAATAACCCATTGAATTGATATGAAAAAAACAAAACCAAACCAAAAAATTTTACCTTCAAGTGGCTCTTCATAAAATTTTGTATTTAGTGAAAAAATACATGTAAATCTATGTAAATATGATATTTATGAGGACAAGTCAAAGATTATCGGTACTTTCGCCCTACACATGTCTTTAGACAAGAAAGTGCAGAAAAATGTTGACTTTCTTTCGTAAATTATTTCTAAAATATTATCTCAGATAAATGTAAACTTGGCCTTGAATATTTTCACAAGCTGAAGCTACACGATCTTGGATTTTATTGCATTAATCTACGTTTTCACAATATAACTGGTATTAACCCAACAATGTTGTTAAAATATTCAATGTCTTTATCCGGAAACTATATCTTGTGAGTTTCAGCTTACAATATTTGTCCTTATTACTTTTCAGGTTTAGTTTGGATCCTTGTCATTCTTAAAGCTTCACCAGTCTTTTAACCAATTTAATTTGTTAACTTTTCTCTTTTTTTTCCAAATTAACGTTACTAACAGCATTTTTAATTGCACCCCAAGGATCATTACTTCAATATTTCGTTCTTTTCTCAGATACATTTTAATGGAACACAAGTTTTTATTGGAAGGAAATCGGGAGAAGTTGCCGTTCATTCTATTAATTTGAAACTATTTATTTTAAAGTTAGCTAAAGCCAATTTCGAAATCCCCTGTAGGTTTTCCAGAATCGATATAAACCTGATCAAGCCCGGAGTCCACAACGGCCGGAACGTTGTGATAAAAAGAACAAAATGAAAACATTAGTCCGTTATATAAATAGTGCAAATAGGGAAGAATCCTTGTTTACATGGATATATCCTTTCGCTTTGAGCTTATTGATTACGACATTCACCATTTAAAAGCATCGTCTTCGGAACTCAAAACATTTCTTTGCGTTTATCTTGACACCATTATCAAATTTGGAGGCACCAAGAATTTTATTGTCTAAGATACCGAAAATATAATGACGTCTCCCACCATTTTAGACTTGTAAGTCATGTTCACTGTTTTCATGAAGTGCCCAGCTAATAGCCTAATTATCAGTTCCATTCGCTGGAACATTATATCCATCTATAACAATTAATTTTGTAATTGTCTATCGATATTTGAGGTCTAGTGTTTCGCAAGATTGTTCCAGGTCTGTTAATTATGAATTCTGTTCTCATCAGTTTGTTAGCTTTTATGCCATAGTATCAGACTGTGTAAAGGCTCGCCATTAAACCCATTCACACAAAAACAGAGTCAAGAACGTACACAGGTGGAATGATGGCGGCATTACTTACAATAATACATCGGAATGATAAAGTAATCTTTTAATTTTTACTGGACATTTTCGTTCAGCAGATGAATGGAAAAACGTCTCGTTATAAAAATAGCGGCCTGCATAAAAATTATTTTCGTTTTTCATCAACTGTTTCACTTAGTTCTTCTACATAGATTATCTTTAGATAATCCGAGCTCTTTCGTAAGGTTTCGAGGGTTCTCCTTTATCTTGTGTTTAATAGAATTATAATCGACAGCTGATGGTAGTCCATGTCTGGGGTTAGATCTTCAATATAAAATCATCAACGATGTAATCGCAGTGGTAACTTACAAGACAAAAGTTACAACAACATAATACTGATAATTCTCTCTCTCTCCGTATATATGTATATTAGATAAGACAACGAAATAATGGACAAATGAAGGCATATATAAATATTTACTTTATTATTTAAGTATTAAAATTATTTATGTCAAAAATCAAATACAATTTTCCTAACTCAAAAAAAAAAAAAAAGAAAAGAAAAGAGAACCTTCAAAAATCGGAAGGTAAATGGCAACACTTGGAAGAAAAGAGGAAAATAAAAAGAAAAGGTTAAGGAGTGAGTGTAAACTGGAGACAAGACAATAAAAAGGACAAATAATCACGACATTCTACACGTGAGCACATCCACGCAGACGGACGAACGAACATATATACACATACACGATGAAAAAAAAAACAAAAACAAAAGAAAACAAAGAAACTTGCACCAATGATAAAAATTGATAGAAAAAAAGAAAACTAAGTTATGGTTTTTGTTTTTTATAATTCTGTAGTGCAAATCTATGAGATCTAATGAAGATAGATCTAATGAAGATATATATATATATGAGTGTGTGCGTGTGTGTTAACCTCAAGCAAAGCGATAACGCCACGAAGATGCAAGCGGCTACTGGGAGTGAAAAATAATGAAAAGGCTTTATAAGGAAGCGGAAACCCAATTCTAAACAGGAAGGAAGTGATAAACCGTAACTCCTCTTCAAAAGACCGGGAGGATTGTGAACCGGACGATAGTTGAAACTATCTACTCCTAGTGAGGAAAATAAAGTAAATAAATAAATAGTAAATAAAAATATCCCAGAGATTAGGCAGAGACGTTAGAAGTATAGTGTTGAAATAGGCTTTAAATGGTACTTGGAAGCACAATCCTAAACAGGAAACAAGGGATAAAACTCACCGCTTTTGTATATATATATATAATTATATATATATATATATATATATATATATATATATATATATATATATATATATATATATATATATATATAAATTAAATAAATATACACAAACATGGAATATTAGTAAACTTGTTTTTTTTTTTATATATATATATATATATATATATATATATATATATATATATATATAAATATGTATATATTTGAGTCTCCGTCGTATTTGACGTATGAGGGTCAAGGAAAATCAGCTCCTAGAAATCGACAGCTAAACACCAGTACATGTGATTTGATTACAGTGGTGAAGGTTTTGTGCAGGACCATCCACACTTTTTGAAGGGCCGAATACAGAGACCTGGTGCACTACGTGCCACAAGGTCCCCAAACGACCCTCCGCAGGTTTTGAATTCAATTATTATTAATAATAATGATTGACATTACATGTGTACGTAAAATTAACTTTGCAATGAGCATCTTGGCAAACGTAAACAATCCGAATAAATAATAGACAAATCAGAGAAACCTGATGATATACTTTCATCAAAATCTGGGGATGAGATAGAATTTTGTTAAGTGCCAATTGATATTCGGAATCGTGGACATGTCGTAATGTTTCAATGTATTATTTTAATCTTTCAATATAAGGAATTTTCTCAGAATGTTTTTTATATCCGATATTTTAGGAAAAGCTTTCCATCTTTATTCAGTTATTTCGCCATCTTCTAGAAAAAAAATCATATTTCACCGCAATATTTCTGCGAGAGAAGAAAACAAATCCAGTGCGAAGCATTCACGGTTAGAAAGTTATATCTTTACCAAGTGCATTCTGGGAAGTGACACTAGGTTTTGAATGAGGGAAAAATAAGCAAAGAAAACTTTAGTTAACAAGAAAAGTTAATTGTTCAGCACTTCGAGGAGAAAGGAAGGAATAATGGAAGGAAAGAAGAAAGGAAGCAAAACGAAGGAAAGAAATATAAAGTTACAAACAAAGAAAGTTTAATTTAAAAGGGTAAAGAAAGAAAAGGAGCGGGTATAGGGTATCACTTAATGGAGAAAGAAAGAAAGAAAGAAAGGAAGGAAGAAAGAAAGGAAGGAAGAAAGAAAGGAAAGAAGAAAGGAAGGAAGAAAGGAAGGAAGAAAGGAAGAGAGAAAGGAAGAAAGAAAAAAGAAAGAAAGAAAGGAAGGAAGAAAGCAAGGAAGAAAGAAAGAAAGAAAGGAAGGAAGAAAGAAAGAAAGGAAGGAAGGAAAGAAGAAAGGAAGGAAGAAAGGAAGAAAAGAAAAAAAGAAAGAAAGAAGAAAGAAAAGAAAGAAAGGAAGAAAGGAAGGAAGGAAAGGAAGAAAGGAAAGAAAGGAAGGAAGAAAGGAAAGGAAGAAAAAAAGACCAAAAAAAAGGAAGAAAGAAAGAAAGGAAGGAAGGAAAGAAGAAAGGAAGGAAGAAAGGAAGAAAAAAAAAGGAAGAAAAGAAAGAAAAAAAAAAGAAAGAAAGAAAGAAAGAAAAAAGGAAGAAAGAAAGAAAGGAAAGAAGGAAGGAAGGAAGAAAGGAAGGAAGAAAGAAAGAAAGAAAAAAGGAAGAAAGAAAGAAAGAAAAAAGGAAGAAAGAAAGAAAGAAAGAAAGAAAGAAAGAAAGGAAGGAAGAAAGGAAGAAAGAAAGAAAGAAAGGAAGGAAGGAAGGAAGAAAGAAAGAAAGGAAGAAAGGAAGGAAGAAAGAAAGAAAGAAAGAAAGGAAGGAAGAAAGAAAGAAAGAAAGGAAGAAAGAAAGAAAGCTTAATTAAAAATAAAAAAAGAAGAAAAAGCACGAACAGTGCAATAATTGGTGGATAAAGGTAGACAGAATTATTGAAAGAAAGAAAAAGAAAGATAAAAGCTATGAAGAAAGATATTTTGATTTAAAAAGAAAAAAGGGAAAAAAAAGAAAAGTTTAACAACTGGTGTGGAAATAAATAGAAGAAAGAAAGAAAGAAAGAAAGAACGATTGGAAGAAAAAAAAAGAACAAATAAATTAAGCGTAAAAACAGTAGAAATTAAATAAAAAGCAACCGGTGAAAAGAATGAAAGGAAGATCATTAAAAGTATGAAAGAATTGGACGAATTAAAAAAAGAAAAACAACGAAAGACAAAAAGATTATTGTAATTACTGATGGGGAAACGGAAAGAAATACAATTTTCATTTACATTTATCGAAAGAAAAAGAATGAAATGAAGAAAAGAAAGAAAAGCAAAATGGAAAAGAAAAAAAAAAAAAAAAAACAGAAAACAAAATATTTTTTCTATTCACAAATATCTGCAATTTTTCTCTTCCATGTGTGCCTAAAAAAACATTTCATTTAATCTAATAAAACTTTTATCGTCTTTCTTTAAATCAAAAACTTCTGTTTCATGACTTAAAACCCACTTTTGACGTCCAAGTAACGTTCCTTCGTCTATTTTCGTGTATTCAAAACGAACTCGAGCCAATAAACCTTTCTTTATTTCCAATTTTTCTCACACACACACACACACACACACACACACACACACATATATATGTATATATATATATACATTTAAAAAATTCTTATAGAAATAAATAAATAAATCCTATTTGAACATTCTGATCACTGTTTATGACAAACTCACCTTCGACTTAGTGAAGATTCGCTCTGAAAACTCTGTAAATAATCACATCAAAGTGGAGATTGTTCTCCCTTGGCAATAACGTTTCTGCTATTTGCGAAAACGTCAGCCATTCCAATTTCTGGATAGTCGGTACGTTCTTTAATTCACATCTTTTTGAAAAGAGAGAATATTTCTTTATCAGATGCATAAAAATATCGACTGTCAAATATTGGTATATCAATCAACGTCCTTGCCAAAGTATTAAAAAAAATCACAAAATTCCATAGCGTCGAAATTATACAACTACAAGTTTTCACGTGCTGCCAAAAAATGACGGTTATTTTAAATAAACGTGTCTTTGAATTGTTCTTATATCTTAGACACACACACACACACACACACACACACGTACGTCAACGTAACAACACGCACATGTGTATAAATATGTATATATTTGTATAAATGGGCGAGTGATTAGAATGCTCGCTTTCTGACTATGAGGCACGAGTTCGAATCTTAGACTATTGGCCTGGGGAGGCGATCCCAGTGTGGTAAAGAGCCTGAGAGCCATACCAAGCCTTGCGAGTGAAGCTGGGGAGATGGAACTGTGGTTACTAGGATGAAGTCACGTCTCAGATTGCAGGTATGGTTGTAAATTTTAGGTGACACTAGATTATAGTTTCTCTCCAAAAAATTGTAAGTGAGGTCTGCTCAGTATAGACCACAGGATTAGTCTATAGATGACAAGTTCAAAGCTGCCTTAACAGTCGTCTAACTAGACAGGTATAATCCGAAAGGAGCGATTAGTCATATATATATATATATATATATATATCAAAGTAAAAAAAACTTAACTTATCTCGGAAAATCCGACAATAAATTTATTTTGGCAAGTAAGTATTTAAATCCGGCCTCATCAAAGATGTGGTCAGCTATTATATACACATTTATTGTGTATTTAAGATGGCAATCCTCAATATACATGTTTCGTTAAAGACGACTGACCTTTTTATTTAATTCTTCTTGTGTTCGTACAGGGATTTTTATTTTCTGAACAGTTAAAACTATATATATATATATATATATATATATATATATATATATGCATCAAAGGAAAAACTTTATTTGGGGAAGTAAATTTTTAATACTCTCTCATCAGACCGGAATTACTAAATGGATTAAATTTATCCAGACAATATGTTAAAAATATATATATATATATATATATATATATATATATATATATATATATATATATATATATATAAAGAAAGAACAGTAAGATATATAATCCGGTGTCCTTATTGGTATTTTTTACTTTTACAAAAAGGTGCTCAATGTAAATTGACAGAGCATAAATATTAAAAATTAAGTGATTTAAAATATGGTTTCTTCGCTATCCAGTAATAACCATGTTTCAAAAACTGAAGGTGAAAACTTCAAATTTAATAATATAATTAAATTAAAAGCATTAGTTCTGTTTCATTTTCAAGCGAATTTTGGAATAACTTATTTTTAAATTTACTGAGTTTTAAACGCACATATAAATTCATAATTTCCTGTTTCCAAGGATACAGAGAAATCCAATCATTTAGACAGGTGCGGTAGCGTGTTCATTTTTATTAACCATTGTTGTATCAATTATGAGTTACGTTCAAAAAAAAGAGATTAAGTTTAGGGATGGTAGGGTATTTTTCAACGAATTTTGACATCCGTTAAAACGCATGTCGTCTGGTTTTTTTTTTTTTTTTTTTTTTTTTATTAACGACAGAAAGTTTTTCGGCATTTTTTTTCGTACTTGTATACTTAAAGATTCTTTCTAAAAGGGGTGTTTGGGTTAGAAAACGTTATATTTAACTACAATTCTAAAATATTTTTTATTCTTAATTATTAATAGATTATATTTCTTTTTAAATCAATTAAATGTAATAGAATTACTTAAATTATTTAAAAATTACTTTTTTATATCGAATATAAGTATCCATATTACCAGCACCTATTTTCTTATTTTATTTTTAAATATTATTTAAGGAGTTTTTTGACATTGAGTGCAAGGAGTCGCTATTTCATTTCTTTGATTCAGTAAATTTTTATTTTTTATAAACATAGTAAAATATAGTTTCTCATGTATGCACAAAGGACATGGGTCATTTAATGACCTCCATATTCTAGCTTTGCTTATTAATTTCCATTTTCATTTTACTGTAGGTGTTTTATTGGTTTCTTTTAAGTGCCAATAAAACCAATAAAATACCTACAGTAAAATGGAAATTAATTTTTTTCTTTTGAGCAAGGAGAGGCATGTTATACCGTTGTTTTATTGCAGGAGGCTTACGGTCACATGACGTTGAAATCCCTGTCAGTAACTAGGTGAGTAAACACTTGGGAATATCTGGTGCTGGAAGCTTGGATGTGAGATTTGAGTTGATGCATTAAAAAAAAAATACTTTATCTCCAGGTTTGAAATATTTAATTAAATTGTTACTTCTTGATGCTCTCGCCTTACTTTCTGGTAATAATTTATTCAAAACGAACATTCCTGGCGAACATGAACCCTGCAAGGCGACATTCCTGACACGGTGTTCGGGTTTGGTGTTATTCTGAAAATACTCAGAAATTGTTGTAGCATTACATCATCTGATTCCTCTCCCTCCGATTTTTTTATTCCCTTTTTGGAATAGTCTTTTTTTGAGATCACACCTCATTTTTTCTAGTCTGTCTAATTGCTTATTAATTGGTTCTAAAGCTACAAAAGGTACTCTCGTTTTTGGCTTAAATGACGACGTTGCATTCTCTCTTAATTCAAATTAAGCTTTAGTTTTTGTGCATGTCCCTAGACCTTCTGATAAAACTTCTGAAAAACTCTCTTTCAATTCCTTCTTTAATTTTTCAGTTGTCGTATTAGCCCCGGAGGTAACAATATTTATTATGTTGCAAAAAGAGTTCATTGCTCAGAATTGTTAATCAGAGAGCTGAGTTCGAATCAAAGTTGTGTTTCGCTATATTCATTTATATGCAAATACATTTGGAAACTGTATGAATCAACCTCTTCTTTCACCAGCAATTTGTAAGATTTGTATCGCGAAACCGGTATTGTCTAAAAAACGAAATTAGAATCTAAATATATTTGCTGGCTTTAAATTATCTGCAAAAGTTTGATAAGCCGTAGATAATAAACCAATCAATCACTTGTCGCAGGGCTTCCGAGCCACTAACATCGTTTTTATTAAAATGCTTGACGCAGCAGTACAGTCATTGCATCAAGTGTGGCGCGTATGTGTTTCACAAGGCCTTTGCTCTCTTACACAGGACTCAAGTAACCAAAGACTAGTTGTCTGAGAATTTTTATGATCATGTCACCTCGCAACAGGTGTCCTTACAGTTCTGCTAAATGTAATTCCATGCTTTATTAGGTCTGGAGCATCTTCGAGATGAAGACCATTTACCGGCACTACAGTAAGAAAGATTCTTTGAAGGTTTTCAGTTGGGAAGGTGGTGGGTAACATGGTAGACACGCACCTGATCTGGACAAACAATCGTTACTGAATCTGGGCATAGCACTTTTATGGAACAACCTTTTTTTATTATCTTCTTCAATGTGTTGTATCCCTTCAGAACGTAAGCTATCCTGGCACTCCACAACTTCCTATTGTTTTGTTACTCACTGTTTTTACCTTTTGCATTCAATATTTCAGGTGAGTGTCAAATTTGTCAAGCCTTCTTTCCTATAAATTTTAGCTATCTCTTTGTGATTCAAAGTTTAGTTTGTACTTTTATTGAAACTTTATCGTTACTTACATGTTCCGTCCATAGTATTCTCAACATAATTAAAAAAAATATACTAATTTTTTTTCAGTTGAATATCTTTGTTTTTCTTTACATTATTTACATTATTCGGACTATTGTCCTCATCTTTGCCGCCATATTTATTACAACGTTTCGGCCGTTGTACGCTCCGGTCTTCTTCAGTTGGTTGGATTGTCGAACTGAACACTTTATTTCGTTCAATGGACACATGGCACAGTAGATAAAGGCGTTAGTTAGATCCAGTGACAAGACCCAAAGAGTATGAGTTCAATACCCCGCTAAGGCAGTGGAGAACTTTCAGAGGGGAATTAACAGGAGATAACTGATAAACTGACATCCATTAAACATGGCACGTGGAACTAGAACAGTCTACCCCAGTGAGCGAAATAAAGGGTTCAGTTCAGAGGGGAAAAATGAAGAAGATCCTTTTGACATATGGCATCCCTCCGAGACATTAACTGCCATAATGATGCTATGCAAAATACCAAATCCAGATCCACAGACGAAGACACTAATTTCTTGCACATTCTCTCTTTGTTATCACCTTTGATTATGTATTGAGAATATAATTCTGCAAACATCATCTAGCTTTTACTTTATCACCAAGAAACTCAAGTCAATATCCTACATTACGTAATCTATAAAACATAGGTATATATCATTTTGAATTTGTATTACTCTTTGCTGTATCATTCTGAGCCTAAATATTGCACGACTTGTTCTAGTGTCTTTAACACAGCGTACTTTTATTGTCCTATTATGCCATTGTTAAGACTTATTAGCTGAAATTCAGGTTTTAGATAAGTTTCATTATATGGCTTATTCAGCTGAAATTTAGAATTTAGATAAGTTTCATTATATGGCTTATTCAGCTGAAATTTAGATTTTAGACAAGTTTCATTATATTTATTCAGCTGAAATTTAGAATTTTAGATAAGTTTCATTATATGGCTTATTCAGCTGAAATTTAGATTTTAGATAAGTTTCATTGAAATATGGCTTATTCAGCTGAAATTTAGAATTTAGATAAGTTTCATTATATGGCTTATTCAGCTGAAATTTAGATTTTTAGATAAGTTTCATTATATGGCTTATTCAGCTGAAATTCAGATTTTAGATAAGTTTCATTATATGGTTTATTCAGCTGAAATTCAGATTTTAGATAAGTTTCATTATATGGCTTATTCAAATTTAAATTTAGATTTTAGATAAGTTTCATTATATGGCTTATTCAGCTGAAATTTAGAATTTAGATAAGTTTCATTATATGGCTTATTCAGCTGAAATTTAGAATTTAGATAAGTTTCATTATATGGCTTATTCAGCTGAAATTTAGAATTTAGATAAGTTTCATTATATGGCTTATTCAGCTGAAATTCAGATTTTAGATAAGTTTCATTATATGGCTTATTCAGCTGAAATTTAGAATTTAGATAAGTTTCATTATATGGCTTATTCAGTTGAAATTCAGATTTTAGATAAGTTTCATTATATGGCTTATTCAGCTGAAATTCAGATTTTAGATAAGTTTCATTATATGGCTTATTCAGCTGAAATTCAGATTTTAGATAAGTTTCATTATATGGCTTATTCAGCTGAAATTTAGAATTTAGATAAGTTTCATTATATGGCTTATTCAGCTGAAATTCAGATTTTAGATAAGTTTCATTATATGGCTTATTCAGCTGAAATTCAGATTTTAGATAAGTTTCATTATATAGCTTATTCAGCTGAAATTCAGATTTTAGATAAGTTTCATTATATGGCTTATTCAGCTGAAATTTAGAATTTAGATAAGTTTCGTTATATGGCTTATTAAGCTTGATGTTCCGACAGAATTCGCATTCATTTGCACCTGGTTTCTTAGGCGGTGCCATGAAAACATATTTACTTATTACTTCTGATATCTCATCTTGGTCGTATATTGTATTTAGTACACCTGTAATTAAGTTAATACTGAAATCATCTAAGGCTGACAATATTTTTTATTACAATTTCATCTTGTCATACTATTTTGTTCTTTTTCAATTTGTCCAGTGTGGACTTCACTTCAGGATGTAATATTTCTGGGCCTTCGAAATTTCTGAATATTGAATATTTTCCTCTTTCGTCGAGGAAGAATTCTCCGATATATTTGCCCCATTGTTTGAAATATGTTTCTTTATCTAATATCAGTATCCCTTACCTGGATTTTAGACATCCCATTTACGATCATTTCTTTCGTTCTGTTCTCTTATTTTTTTATGCATGTCTGCTTTATCTGTAATAATAATTGTTTTTATTTCTGCAAAAAATTCGTAGAGTCGTTCCTTTTTTTGTTTGCGCTTGTTCTCAATTTCATTAAACAATGTTCTACATTATATGCTATACATTAGCATTATTTGTTGTCTCTCTTTCATCATGTCAATAATTTAATCTGTCATCCATTCCATTTTTCCTTGTCTAGTTTTCTTTAGGATGATCTCATTTCCTGATGTTACTAAAGCTTCCCCTTATTGTGTGCTACTTCAAAATTCCATTATTGTACCTGCTTTTATCGCTGTTGGGATACCTCTCCTTCTAAATAGGATCATTCAGGAGTCTGTTGTATCACAAGTTGAGTACTGTCTTGTTTTGAATTTCAGCTTATGTATTACTGGAAGTTGGTTTCTCTTGCAATTGTTACTTAGATATGTTTTGCATGCCCATATTTGTCTTGGATGTTCTGGAAAACAGGTGTTGACTACTATCTGATCGATCGCTCTACACAATTGGACCCGTTTTCCTCCGCATTTGTTACGAATTTTCTATTTCATTATCTATGCTCTTCCATAGTTTAGAATGCAAGGTATTTCATGACGATTGTAAGGTACTGCGATTTGAATTGAACATTGATATTGTTTTTCGTACAATAAAACCTTTTGATATCATCCGTATTCTGCGCTGTCGGTGCATATAAAATTTGCTCCTCTTTAAATTTAACTAGCAGAATTCTATCTGCTGATTAATTATACCCTTGAACACACACTCTTTCATTGCATATATGGCTCCGTGATTGCCACTAAAAAACTCCCCGTTGGTGGTTGCCCACCTAGTTTAGCATATGCCAACGAGTTAAAACAATATTTTCCGGAAATATTTTGGTTAACCAGTATTTTTTTTTAGTGAAACACAATCCTTGTTAGTGTTATATATATATATATATATATATATATATATATATATATACGTTGAGTCAAAATTTATTTCATGATATAAGCAATAAGGAACAGAATCAAACATATCACATATCCAGATATAGCTATACATAATAGGTGGAACATTGGTAGGGTGAACACTGTGAACGAAAGAGAGTGTGACTATGTTAAAAATATGGATGTGAACCTGTGATGTATAGCTGTATTTTGATGTACGAATTGTTTCATTGTCTTCCTTATTTGTTATATAATAAAACAAATAGCATTATCTTTTTGCCTCGTGTATATATATATATATATATATATATATATATATATATATATATAGTCGGTATGTATGTATATATAGTGATTTCCCAAGCGTAGCTTACATGTGGCACAAGGTCGAAGGTAGGAGGCACCCAGTGAAAATTGAACACAATACTCAGTCGTAATTGTTCTAGCGAGACATGCTTGCTAACCATTACACCACCTCGAGCTGTCCCTAGTCAGTATATATATATGTTTCATTAAATAATATAGACAGTTGCTGTCTATTTATTTTATGTAAATTCTTTTCATAACGTCTGATAAATTTAGTAATATTATCATTGAATGAAGAAAGAAATTCACAATATTGATCCATTTTTTAAATTCAATCTAAGCTTTCGACTTGCATAAGCCATTATAATAGATGTCAATTACTGTACAACATATTAAGCAATATACGGACAAGACAGTGATGATAGTCTGTGATTTTTTATATGGATGATTTCCTAGCAACGATAAACACGTGCATATAAGACGCTAGAAGCGAAAATCGCACAGCAGCTCATGACGTCACACATGACCACGCGGCAGTGAATTCGAGAAGTATTAAGTATGGGAAGCCGTTGATATAAACCAACAGCTTCTGTTACTAATTATAGGCATTTAAGGATATTTGTAGAGATTCCATAGTTGATTTTGTTTAGGTTGGGTTTCAACTGTTTGATGTATATTGCTTCAAGGATTTTTAGTTTTTGTCAATTGTTTTCATGTTGAAGTATATATATATATATATATATATATATATATTGATTTTCCAAGGATAGCTTTGATGTGGAACAATGAATATAGGGGGCATACTGAGATCGAATTCACTACTCACTCGTAATTGTTCTATCGAGAGAAACTTGCTAACCAAGAAAATACTCACCTAGCGGTGCCCCTAGTCAATGTATATATAAATATATATAATTTTTATATGTATATATATATATATATATATATATATATATATATATATATATATATATATATAGAATATATATATATATATATATATGATAGTTTCATATAGTCCTTTTTTAATAGAGAGGAAAACAAAAAGGATAAGGCGTCAATATTCTTTTCTCTCAAAAATCGGCCTCAAATTCTGTTAGATACGCGGAGTGATGATTAATTTTGCAAATACCATGCTGAGAGATTTTTTTTTGTGGAAGAATTTTGCCGCTAGTAGGTGCCATTTAAATCTTACTTGCCCGCGGAATTTAAAGGCTCTGGGGATCGTTGTTGGTCTGATTTGCATGTTATTTCAAAGTGCCGTTCCTTAAATTACAAAGTAAATTGTTGTTTTAAATAAGATACGCATTTGGATTTGGCGGAAGTTTTTACCTTATATTGGATGTGGCGTGGTGAGAGGTGGGGACTGAAATAGGAATGGAGATGATTTCTTTTTAATTCGCAGAAAGAATTGCTTCAGAATAAAAGAAATGATTTGAATAAGAACGTGATTTAGAAAGAATAGAAAAAAAAGAGGAACGTGTTTGAATGAAGACAGAGGGAGTTGGAAAGGAGAAAAAGAAAGACAGAAGTTGTCCTTAGGGTTCAAAAAAGAAGAAGAACGAAAAAGAAAAAGAAAATAGAAGAAAAAAAGGAGGAGAAGAAGAAGAGGAGGAAGAAGAAGAAGGTGAAGAAGCTGAAGAAGAAGAAGAAGAAGCTGAAGAAGAAAAAAGAAGAAGGAAGAAAAAGAAGAGAAGGAAGGAGAACGTGAAGAAGACCAGGAGAAGAAGAAAGGAGAAAAAAAGAAGAAAGAAGAACTCGAAGAAGAAGAAGTGAAGAAGAAGAATAATGTGTACAAAAAGAAGGAGGAGGAGAAGGAGAAAAAGAAATAGCAGAAGAAGAAGGTGAAGAAGAGAAGAAGAATGAGAAGAAAAAGAGAAGAAAAAAGGGGAAGGAGAAGAAGACTGCGAAGAAGGAGAAAAAGAAGAAGAAGAAGTTGAAGAAGAATAATAATGTCTACAAGAAGAACGAGAAGAAGAAAAAGTGGAAAAGGAAAAAGAAAAGAAGAAAGAAAGAAAGAAAGAAGAACGTGAAGAAGAACAAACTGAAAAAGACAGTGAAGGGAAGAACAAGTGGAAAAAGAAGAAAAGAAGAAGAAAAAGAAGAAAAAAGAAGAACCAGAAGGAGGAGGAAAAAGAGAAAAACGACGAGAAGAAGAAGAAAGACGAAAAAGAAAAAAGAAAAGAAGAAGAATGAAGAAGAAGAAAGAAGAATAAAAAGGATAAGAAGGAAGAATAAGGTGAAGAAGAATCTGAAGAATAAGAATGGGAATAAAAAGAATATAACGTTTACAAGAAGAAGAAGAAGAAGAAGAAGAAGAAGAAAATGAAGAAGAAGAAGAAGAAGAAGAAGAAAATGAAGAAGAATGCCAACAAAACCCCAAATTTAAGAAGTTAAACAAGATCTACACGAAAGAAGCTGAAGGAAAAATGGGCAAGAAAGAAATTTGAACAAAGATGCACTCGAATGGCTAAAAATAAAGAGACGTTTGCGCAAATATAAAAAAAAATTGTAGCAGAGTTTTGAAAGAGACTTGCTGTTGCTTGGTCCCAAGGTCACAAACATCGCCCATATAGGAATCTGTATTCTATGTGCTGTGTCCACTCAAAACGGGGTAGATCATGGCTCTCCACAACGTCCTATCCTTTGTAGTTCTTAGTAAACTTCGTCTTTTTACTATCGCCCCGAATCCCTCTTCTGCCACAAGCTCGTTAGCTAGCTTACTCGCAGTCCTTTCAGCAAGAAGCCATATGAGTGTCATATTCCCAAGCCCTCTTTCCTCATAATGTATCCCAGAAATTTCACCACTCTCTTTATGATTCTAAGTAAAAATATTTTGTTAGCACTTTCCTTAAAACTGTCTCGTTGCTCACATGTTCAGTCTATTGTATTCTCAGCATCCTTCTGTAGAAGCAGATTTCTGCTGCTTCAAGTCTCGAGTAAAATTAGGAGGACTGATATTACAAACCGTTCAACACTCTTTTCTTTATTTCTGATATATTGCTTAGCTTTTGAAAGGCATCTTTCGGCATCCCAATGCGCCTTCGAATTTCGGTGTCGCTTTTTCTCTCCTCCGTTAAAATATTTACCAGATATTTAAATTTTTGAACCTGCTTGCTTTTGTTACCTCCAATTCGTATTTCTCATTTTGGGATGTTCCCTCCTGCTGTCAACCGAACTTTCTGTCTCCTTTAAATTGAGGTTTATTCATTTCTTCTCACTTTTCATTACTGCCTTCTCTATGAGTTTCTGTTGTTTCATTTCTGTGTCTACTATCAACAATGTAAAATCTGAACATTTTATATTGTTAAGATTGTGGCCGCCAACAATGAATCCTGGTAGGATTTCTAGTTCTATCAGTGCCGTATAAGTCCGGTGAGAAGACACACACTTGTCTTACACCTCTTTCGGAATTCATTTTCTATCCGAATGTGGAAAATTTAATTCCAGTATAAGTTCTGGATTATTCTAATTTATTTATAAATAGATAAATATTTTTGAGTAGTTCAAAAGGCAGTTCAATGACAAACTCTGAAAAACGCTTTGGTAATTTATAATACATAGGTATATATTTTTGGCGCATTGCAAACAAGCATTTTCTGAGATAAATTTGAGCCTAAATATCGCATTCTGTATTCCAGCGTCTTTAACGTAACCACAGTTTTCTTGTGAAAAACGTTTGAACACAGTAACTATAAACAAAATGTTTTTTTTTTTGCTATCCTCTACAAGCCATAATGATGGAGAAAGCATTACCTCGAACCATCGCCAGTGAGACACGCTGCAAGAGCCACTCCGTTTCACGAGGCTCATCCCTTAATCGAGACGCAATCGCGCCAATCCGCCGAAGGAACGCCATCGAACGAGGGCCAATAACTCCAGAAGTCTCCACTGCCACAGGAGTAAAAACAAAATCCATCAGTAAGAGAAGAATATTTAACTATTTTTTTTTATCTCTGCGTCCTAGGCGACGGTGTGTATGGCTCAACTGCGTGACCTGATCAAATTACCGACCGAAAAAATGTATCCGCACATGTCGCATCCCAAATCAACAAATACTCCCCATTTTAAAAGGAAAAATGGTAATGTCCTCCGGCCGCTTTCCATCATCACGGTCGAGGCCTACGGTCTCGATTTGGGAAGAGAACCCAGCAGCAACCAAACCTCTTCTGATGATGTCGTTAATGGCTGCATGCCGTGGAATGCGGCCGGCATTACGATGACAGGAGAGAGGATTTCTTGTCCTCTTTCCAGGTTAAGTACCCTACGCACTCAGTACATTGGACAATCAGCCTAATGTGGTTCATTAGGCTAATTGTCCGATGGAGTTTGCATTTATCTACATTTTTCTTTCTTAGGCAGTGCTTTAAAAAAAAATTACAATGCCAGCTTGTTTTATAAAAACTATCAACATTGTTCCGTTTCCCGTAAAACTTATTTGAAAAACATCAAGCCAATTAATTGAATAGTCGACATTATAAGTTATACTATCGGATTTATTGTGTTTTGTTGTTATTTTTGTCGGTGATATGAAATGTAAGGAAATATTATTTGTTCGTGTGTTTAATAAAAGGTGAAAATAAAATCACATCAATTTTGACAAGGAAAAGAAATGAAAATATTAATAATTTTCATTTACAATAATGATGTTTATGAATAACGACATTTTTATTTTGACACACACACACACATACACACACAATATATATATATATATATATATATATATATATATATATATATATATATATATATATATATATGTTTAAATTAAAATAATTAAAAAGTGAACAACTGTATTGAGTGGTTATTGCTGTTTTTATTTGTTTTATCAAACAGGGAACTTAATAATAGTTGGCTTTGAAAAGTTTACAAATTAATTTGTCCTGTCATCCTATATATATATATGATATATATATATATATATATATATATATATATATAAATGATTACGTCCTGAGGTAAAAAAGAGATTCAAGTTCGTTCCAACTTGAAATAATTTTCATATTAATAAAAAATTATGTTCAATGTAAATTTACAGAGCATTAATATTATAAATTAACTGATTGAAAATATATGTTTTTCGCTACACAGTAATAACCATGTTTCAAAAAAATGGAAGCTAAAAACTTCAAATTTAATTTTATATAATTAAATAAAAAATATTAGTTGTTTTCATCTTCAAGGAATATTAAAAATAACTTATTTTTAAATTTACTGAGTTTTAAACAACACGTAAATCCAAATTTTGTCCGATTTCTGATAAGGAAATTCAATCATTCAGACAAGGGATTTAGCAGTGTTATATTATATTAATATATATATTGATATAAAAATTTTTAAAAAAAGTGGTCAAATTTTACCATTATCGCCTTTATTGTCTGAAGCCTTTTTGAATTGCCTGGATCATCAGATATTTACCAAAAAATGAAATGAAACGAAAAATGAAATTAAAATTGATGGGTAGTGTAAGTGTTTGTAATTTAACAGAGAGTGTAAAGGGGATAGTTAAAGAGACATGGTAGAGTTTAGGGAGGGATTAATTTCATATCTCTCTAAAGTATACTTGGTATTGGGGGAGGAGGAGTGACCAGACCTTGACCTAAGTGATATATTGAAATCCCTAAATAAGTCAAGAGAACTCGACTAGATATGGCAACAGTATTCAGTGCATGGTAGATTTGTAAATGTGTAAGATGGATTCCGACGTTTAAAATTTTCTAGTACGACATAGTGACCCAACTTTCCTTACATTAGATGCAGCTATTGATTCGATATAGTTGCTCTACTGCAAAACAGTTGAAAGTATCAGGTCAAGTAAGCGAGGTGTGTTGCTCTACTCGGGATTAGCATAAGCCATGCTAATAGCAGGCAGACATGTTTCTCTATGGTGGCTAAATGAAAGCAGTTTTGTTTTGGAGGCGTTAAAATTTACAAGCCATTTCTTGCCCCGGTTAACCACTGATTCTTTTGCATGTTCAGCTACCAGGTTTACTTTGTCAGATCTGTCGTATTTTCCACTAAGACAAGAGTAAATGGTTGTGTCTTCTGCATAAATACCTAGTTGAGAACTGATGACATAGGGGAAGTCATTGATGAAGATCTGAACTAATGTAGGGCCCAAGATAGAGCCTTGGGTCAATCGCATTTATGTGAAAGAATCTGGAAGCGAGCCCATTCAAAACGACCTTCATTTCACAATTTGATAGCAACGATTTCATTAAAGCAAATATCCATCCTGTGACATGATAAAAGAAGTCTAGTTTCCTTAGGAAATCTAGTAACGTTTAGGGCTAGGGCTAGGGTTGAGGAAATCTGGTAAAGGAAGGTTGACAGGAGTAACTTGTTACGCAGTCGACATTTGATTTGCTACTGATTTGAAAGTATTTTCGGATTATTTTTCTATTAGTTTAGAGGCAGCAAAATGCAATGAACGTCCAGTAAAATTGATTTGCTTAGAAATATCTGATTCTGATCATGTGACTTTAGCGTCCGTGCGAATTTTCATTTTTGATATATATCGCTTCTGAAAAACCATAAATCTCTTGAGCTGACGTTTTTAACTCACTGGAACAATCTGGTACGTAATTTAGCTTACTGTTGGATAATAAAAACATTTTGAAAGATTAACTTTACTTATTGGTAAAAAATAGTTTTCTATTCATGTCGACATTGCATGTTTTATTTATTATACTAAATCAAAAAATGAAAAAGTTAAGGTCATTTGAATATAGCTGCCGAAATAAAGGACATTTTTCACAGTGGTGTTCACCCTGTACAAGGCCTGGGGGCCACTCGCGGTAGATGTTTACAGAATAAAAGGCGCGGCTATTAATATCAATCATCCTTTATTATAGCGAATTTTGAACAATCTTCTCGCAGGTGAGGAGATTTCACGCAACTGAAATGTCTTTTTACAGAAGAATAATGTAATTATCATGGATGGAGCATGTGAACAACGAGGAAGTTTGAAGAAAAATAGAAACAAAAAATACACATCCTTTTTTTTTTTACAGTGGTTTTCACCCTTTAGAAGACCTGTGGGCCATTCGAGGTAGAGGATTAGAGATTAAAACGCACATCTTAGGTGGATATGTGTGGAATATAATGGTTAACCCTAGACTATAACAGGATGAGATTGTAGCGATCGGGGAAGCAACCTCTTGGCAAGCGGTCCCACATGGCAATATTTCGTAGGAAGGAGTTGCTTGAGTTGAGGAATCCGAAGGAAATGAGGTTGGTTCGCTACAATGTGCCTGTTAGGGCACATCGTGAAGATTAGAAATGGCGGAACTAAGGACTGTAGTTCATTTGAACATACTTCAGGGGGATATTGATAGAGCAGCGAGAGGCTTACGACGTTAGAAAGAGGGTTGAAGAGAGGAAAATAATTCAGCAACTACAGGATGCGCATCCACACCTTTAGACTCCATCGAAGAATCTCCTGCCCATATACGGCAGTGATACTCCATTTTCGGCCTGATCTGGCTCTTCTAGAGCTAGAGGATTGCACGAGGCGTAAGATAATTGCTGTAGCGCTACTGGTAACCGACTATTTTTTCAAG